AAGGTCATAAATATGATAATTGATAGGGAACAGTGTAGTAAAGAAAGCGAATGTCAGACTGAAGTTCCTGTATAGACAAGCACAGTGTCTACCTACTGAGGCTCGCAGGACCCTATGTCTAGCCCTTATACAATGCCATATGGATTACGCTTCCTCTTCTTGGTACTCTGCCTTGACAAAAAACTGATAGACTGCAAATCACCCAGAACAAAATCGTAAGATTCATCCTGGGGCTGGGACCAAGAGAACATGTAGGCCAGGATGAATTACAGCAGTTGGATATGCTGAATGTTGAAGACAGAGTAAAACAACTGAAGCTAAATCATGTTTATAAAATTGCTCACAAACAGTGTCCAGAATATCTTGCTGTCAATTTTGTCAAGGCTGGGAACCAAAGCAATCATAGTACTAGGGGGAGAGAACACAACTTTGTAGTACCCACAGTCAGTGGCCAGACTTCAAACACCTTTTATTGTACAGCAATAAAGGAATGGAACAGACTACCCGCACATGTCAAAGCCAGTCATAGCATGAACCAGTTCAAGAAGACTGCCAAAAGGTGTCTGATGAATGTAGCTACAGAAAGGGAGGGGAATGATTTACTATTTTTTAGCTAACATAAGTGTAAATTTTACCTTATTCCTAGTAATGACCCTCGTATTGTAGATAGTCTTAATGACCCTCGTGTAGTAGATAGTCTTAATGACCCTCGTGTAGTAGATAGTCTTAATGACCCTCGTGTAGTAGATAGTCTTTTTAGTATGATAATAAGATGTTATCTTCATTATAGAATAATAAGAAAATATTATAACCTTTATATTATAATAATAAGGTAAAAGGACCACAATGGAAATAAGTCACTTTGTCTGACTTTTTTGGGTTATCCCAGGTTCTCTACACATATGTTGCTATGTATGATAATCTATGTAACTGTATTTGTGCATACCTGAATAAACTTACTTACTTACTTATGAACAAGAATGGGCCTAAAACTTAGTCTTGAGGAACGCCACTTGTGACTAGTCACCATTCAGACTTGATCCCATTAATGCAAATTCTCTGTTTTCTGTTGGTCTACCATTCCTCAGTCCACGTCAGAACTTTACCTTAACAAGTACTTTATCAAAGTCTTTTTTGAAATCCAATAAACATCATATTCTTCATCGTTCTCCACTGCCTCAAATATTTTATTGAAGAACTTTCGAAAAGTATCCTCGTTAATGTGACTTCTAATAATATGAATTATAACTGAGTCTAATAATTTGCTTATTATAGAGGTCAGGCTTATGTGACGGTAATTTGATGTAATTGACTTGTACCTTATTTAAATATAGGGATTACATTAGTAATTATCCACGTCTCCGGCACTACATTACATTAGTAATTATCCACGTCTCCAGCATTACATTACATTAGTAATTATCCACATCTCCAGCATTACATTACATTAGTAATTATCCACATCTCCAGCATTACATTACATTAGTAATTATCCACATCTCCAGCATTACATTACATTAGTAATTATCCACGTCTCCAACATTACATTACATTATGCAATAAACTTTCTTAATTATCAAATTACAGTCCAATAAAGGAAAGTTAAAACGGGAAGACCAGGAAGAAAAACTTGATCGGTAGTTAAAATATCAACAAATAATTCTGTCATTCTTGAGACATCACAACTCATAATATCTAGGCATTATACCATTATACCATTATACCATTATACCATTATACCATTGACCATTAGCACAAAAACAGAGTCATGTGTGATAGATCCAGTGTGGGTGGAAAAGGTTGCCGGAAAAGGCTATTCTTTGCTCCTCCCAGGCCAGAACTGTTGTTAATGACTCGGCAGACGATGCAACATCCCCCAAATGAAAAGCAGGGGTGTCACTAGCACGTTAAAAGACAACACAATAAGTGTCAGGGGCCCGAGACTGTTCAACTGCCTCCCAGCATACATAAGGGGCATTACCAACAGACCCCTGGCAGTCTTCAAGCTGGCACTGGACAAGCACCTAAAGTCGGTTCCTGATCAGCCGGGCTGTGGCTCGTACGTTGGATTGCGTGCAGATAGCAGTAACAGCCTGGTTGATCAGGCTCTGATCCACCAGGAGGCCTGGTCACAGACCGGGCCACGGGGGCGTTGACCCACGGAACTCTCTCCAGGTAAACTCCAGGTAATGTACAACAGATGGTAGGAGTTTCAGGAGGTGACAGCTTTACCTGTCCTTGAACAATCATGCATATCCTACATCTATCCAGGCCATGACCTCCTCAACATCTATCCAGGCCATGACCTCCTCAACATCTATCCAGGCCATGACCTCCTCAACATCTATCCAGGCCATGACCTCCTCAACATCTATTCCGGTCTTGACCTCCTCAACATTTATCCCGCCTTGACCTCCTCAACATTTATCCCGCCTTGACCTCCTCAACATTTATCCCGCCTTGACCTCCTCAACATTTATCCCGCCTTGACCTCCTCAACATTTATCCCGCCTTGACCTCCTCAACATTTATCCTGCCTTGACCTCCTCAACATTTATCCTGCCTTGACCTCCTCAACATTTATCCCGCCTTGACCTCCTCAACATTTATCCCGGCCTTGACCTCCTCAACATTTATCCCGCCTTGACCTCCTCAACATTTATCCCGCCTTGACCTCCTCAACATTTATCCCGCCTTGACCTCCTCAACATTTATCCCGCCTTGACCTCCTCAACATTTATCCCGCCTTGACCTCCTCAACATTTATCCCGCCTTGACCTCCTCAACATTTATCCCGCCTTGACCTCCTCAACATTTATCCCGCCTTGACCTCCTCAACATTTATCCCGCCTTGACCTCCTCAACATTTATCCCGCCTTGACCTCCTCAACATTTATCCCGCCTTGACCTCCTCAACATTTATCCCGCCTTGACCTCCTCAACATTTATCCCGCCTTGACCTCCTCAACATTTATCCCGCCTTGACCTCCTCAACATTTATCCCGCCTTGACCTCCTCAACATTTATCCCGCCTTGACCTCCTCAACATTTATCCCGCCTTGACCTCCTCAACATTTATCCCGCCTTGACCTCCTCAACATTTATTCCGCCTTGACCTCCTCAACATTTATCCCGCCTTGACCTCCTCAACATTTATCCCGCCTTGACCTCCTCAACATTTATCCCGCCTTGACCTCCTCAACATTTATCCCGCCTTGACCTCCTCAACATTTATCCCGCCTTGACCTCCTCAACATTTATCCCGCCTTGACCTCCTCAACATTTATCCCGCCTTGACCTCCTCAACATTTATTCCGCCTTGACCTCCTCAACATTTATCCCGCCTTGACCTCCTCAACATTTATCCCGCCTTGACCTCCTCAACATTTATCCCGCCTTGACCTCCTCAACATTTATCCCGCCTTGACCTCCTCAACATTTATCCCGCCTTGACCTCCTCAACACGACAGACTTTGTAAGTTGAAATATATTAAGAGAATGTGTCACCTATATAAGTGTTCATTTTGTCTTGTTTAATCCCACGTTTTACATAGTCCTAGGACCTATAAAACTAACATTGACACTAAGACAACAAGTCTCTTCTCAAAATTATTACAATCAATTATAGCCGATATTAAGAGAAACTATAATATAGAATATAATTTGATTAAGAGTCTCAACTCGAGTGAGAAGAGCTCGTTCCTGCCTTGACGAATTTACCAGCTATCATTAATAAAATATTTGAGGCAGCAGACAACGATAAAAAAGTATGATGTACATTTGGATTTCAGAAGGCCTTTAATAGAGTCCCTCACAAAAGACTCTTATGAAAACTGGCAGATCATCAATAGAAAACGAAGTTTGCATCACTGGGGTCAGGTATCACTGGTGGCGTCCCGCTAGGATCAGTTTTGGCTCCTAACTAATATGGGTCATTAAGTCTTACTTAGTTCTCATATTCTTCTGACATCCTTATTAACGAATCCAGTAAATCAGCTAACGAATTCGCTAAATAGATTAACAAATCCGCTAAATCGATTAAAGAATCCGCTAAATCGGTCAACGATTCCGCAAAATCGTTTAACGGAATCCACTAACACGTCTCACGGCCGTTCCACAACGCATACAGCTATTTATACACATGAAGACACACTCACTAGCGCCATCACATACGCTGTCAGGCGCATACACACACTAGCGCGCACATACACACCAGCGCAGAGCCATCAGACCTCAGTAACAGTATTCAGAGCCCAGCAGTCACCACACTCAGAGTCCAGCAGCTACCACTCAGACGCTCCAGCAAAATACAGTATTCACTCGTCCTGTATACGTCTGATCAAGGATATACACCAAGGACATACATCTCAGCATGAAGGTCAGAGATATAACAGTTTGTATAACTGTCTATCAATGTATATACACTGAGAGATGTATATATCTTAGTGTATATACAATGAGGGGAGTGTCTCTCAGTGTATATACACTGAGAGATGTTTATCTCTCAGTGTATATACAATGAGGTGTGTGTCAATGTATATACAGTGGGGTGAGTATAAGTGTATATACACTGTATATAGAGTGCATATACACATCTTAGTGATTATAAACTGAGATGAGTATCTGTCAGTGTTTGTACAATAAGATGTATATCTCAGTGAATATACACCGAGAGGTATATATCTCTCAGTTTATATAAATACGGTGATAAATATTTCTCAGTGTATATGCTGTAAAAGGTGAGTATCTCTCAGAATATATACACTGATAGATGCGTGTCTCTGTGTATATAGACTGAGGTGTGTATGTCTCACTGTACATATACTGACAGTTGTGTATCTTTCAGTTTATATATATACATATATATATATATATATATATATTTATATATATAATATATATATATATATTATATATATAATATATATATATATATATATATATATATATATATATATATATATATATATATATATATATATAATAATATATAATATATATATATATATATATATATATATATATATATATATATATATATATATATATATATATTATATATATATATATACATATGCAAAACAACCACTGTGAAACAATGGAGAATTCCAAGCGCTTTCGTGACTACTCACATTATCAAGGAACAATTAAAGTAATGCATCAAAGGAAGGCATATATCACTATCACATCCCACAACAAAGCAACACCTGATGCGCGACTTATAAGAAAGGGAACACTGCAGCAGGCCCACTGGCCCAACTAGACAGGTCCTTCACACAACCCACCAACAAACTCTTCTACCCAAGAATTAAGAATTTTAAAATTTATTATTTGTCCAATGTATTATTAAATTCTTCCCAAATTCTATTAATTATAAATGGATCTAATTTATATAAACCAAAGGAAATATTCATATTATTTTCAAAATTGCTTTTTATGAAACAAGATTCAATTATATTCCTGTCGACCATGGACTTGCTTGATACTACTTTCTCAACTTTTTGAAAATCAATTGGATGGTTAAAATCTCTCACATTAATAAATAGATCATTGGAATCTTGTCCAGTTCTAATGCTATATTTATGTTGTTTTAATCTAAGTTCGAGATTTTTACCAGTTTGACCGTAATAAACTTTACCGCAAATTTTACAAGGAATCTTATAGACACATCCATCAGCATTTTGGGGGGAATTCTTTATCAAAAGTTTTTTTTACTGTATCAAGATTTTTAAATACAACTTTGATATTAAAAGTCTTAAGAAGAGAAGGCATATCAACCAAGTTTTCATGGTAAGGGAGAACCAACATATTTTTAGTTGAATAAGGCTGGTTGTTCCTTTTTGGATTGTAAAAAGTATTTCTAGCAACTATAAAAGATTTATCAATTACGTTTCTTGGGTATTTCAAATCATTGCCTATTTCATAAATTTTTGATATTTCCTCATCTATGAACTCAGGACTACAAATACGTAAAACTCTCAAAAACATTGATGAGAAAACAGTCAGTTTAACTTTATCTTGATGAGAAGAATAATAGTGGACAAAGGAACAGTTATTTGTACGTTAGAAATACTTTTTACAACCCAAAAAGGAACAACCAATCTTATTCAACTAAAAATATGTTGGTTCTCCCTTACCATCAAAACTTGGTTGATATGCCTTCTCTTATTAAGACTTTTAATATCAAAGTTGTATTTAAAAATCTTGATACAGTAAAAAAAACTTTTGATAAAGAATTCCCCCCAAAATGTTGATGGATGTGTCTATAAGATTCCTTGTAAAATTTGCGGTAAAGTTTATTACATACACTGAGAGATGTATATCTCAGTATACATATACTGAGAGGTGTATATCTCAGTATACATACTCTGAGAGGTGTATATCTCAGTATACATATACTGAGAGGTGTATATCTCAGTATACATACACTGAGAGGTGTATATCTCAGTATACATATACTGAGAGGTGTATATCTCAGTATACATACACTGAGAGGTGTATATCTCAGTATACATATACTGAGAGGTGTATATCTCAGTATACATACACTGAGAGGTGTATATCTCAGTATACATATACTGAGAGGTGTATATCTCAGTATACATACACTGAGAGGTGTATATCTCAGTATACATATACTGAGAGGTGTATATCTCAGTATACATACACTGAGAGGTGTATATCTCAGTATACATATACTGAGAGGTGTATATCTCAGTATACATACACTGATAGGTGTATATCTCAGTATACATACACTGAGAGGTGTATATCTCAGTATACATACACTGAGAGGTGTATATCTCAGTATACATACACTGAGAGGTATATCTCAGTATACATACATTGAGTGGGGGTATATCTCAGTATACATACACTGAGAGGTGTATATCTCAGTATACATACACTGAGAGGTGTATATCTCAGTATACATACACTGAGAGGTGTATATCTCAGTATACATACACTGAGAGGTGTATATCTCAGTATACATACACTGAGAGGTGTATATCTCAGTATACATACATCGAGTGGTGTATATCTCAGTATACATACACTGAGAGGTGTATATCTCAGTATACATACACTGAGAGGTGTATATCTCAGTATACATACATTGAGTGGTGTATATCTCAGTATACATACACTGAGAGGTGTATATCTCAATATACATACATTGAGTGGCGTATATCTCAGTATACATACACTGAGAGGTGTATATCTCAGTATACATACAGTGAGTGGTGTATATTTCAGTATACATACACTGAGAGGTGTATATCTCAGTATACATACAGTGAGTGGTGTATATCTCAGATATACATACACTGAGAGATGTATATCTAAGTATACATACAGTGAGTGATGTATATTTCAGTATACATACACTGAGAGGTGTATATCTCAGTATACATACAGTGAGTGGTATATATCTCAGTATACATACACTGAGAGGTGTATATCTCGGTATACATACAGTGAGTGGTGTATATCTCAGTATACATACACTGAGAGGTGTATATCTCGGTATACATACAGTGAGTGGTGTATATCTCAGTATACATACAACGAGACTTCCAGAGTGTAATTCTTTTACCCAGGCGGGAGAGATACATGATTATATACACCTGGAAAATCCTAGAGGGACTAGTACCGAACTTGCACACGAAAATCACTCACTACGAAAGCAAAAGACTTGGGGAGACGATGCAACATCACCCCAATGAAAAGCAGGGGTGTCACTAGCACGTTAAGAGACAACACAGTAAGTGTCCAGGGCCCAAGACTGTACAACTGCCTCCCAGCATACATAAGGGGGATTACCAATAGACCCCTGGCTGTCTTCAAGCAGGCACTGTACAGGCACCTAAAGTCAGTACCTGACCAGTCGGGCTGTGGTTCGTACGTCGGTTTGCGTGCGGACAGCAGTAACAGCCTGGTTGATCAGACCCTGATCCACCACGAGGCCTGGTGTCAGACCGGGCCGCGGGGGCGTTGACCCCGGAAACCTACTCCAGATATAGTCGTTAATCTCAGATACAGTTTTACGGAAGACCTGAGAGTTCTGATCCTCGGCAAAAGGCAAGAGCGGTAAGCATTAAAAGCGTGTGCTCCCGTTAGGATGAACTCGGCAGCCTGTTAACAGTGTGTGTGTTAAGGGCAAACAGAAGCACCGTTAAAATTGGCCTTGGGAAGTAGTGAGTCCAGCCAGGCGTCTCCCAGACACAGTTTCTTCGACTTCGCCGCTGGTTAATTACATTCCTCCGTGCGAAATGGCTCATCGCCTCGTGCAACAGCACTGACTGAATGATGATGCAAGTGTTTTTTTCTATTTTAGTCACACAGGCCTTTGTGGCACATGAAAATTTCTTCTAAAAAATTGTAAATAATTGGCAGGCAGGCGTGTGGTAGACAGTTTTGTGAGCCTCACTGCCGGGCGTGTGGTAGACAGTTTTGTGAGCCTCACTGCCGGGCGTGTGGTAGACAGTTTTGTGAGCCTCACTGCCGGGCGTGTGGTAGACAGTTTTGTGAGCCACACTGCCGGGCGTGTGGGGAGACAGTTTTGTGAGCCTCACTGCCGGGCGTTGTGGTAGACAGTTTTGTGAGCCTCACTGCCGGGCGTGTGGTAGACAGTTTTTGTGAGCCTCACTGCCGGGCGTGTGGGAGACAGTTTTGTGAGCCTCACTGCCGGGCGTGTGGTAGACAGTTTTGTGAGCCTCACTGCCGGGCGTGTGGGAGACAGTTTTGTGAGCCTCACTGCCGGGCTGTGTGGTAGACAGTTTTGTGAGCCTCACTGCCGGGCGTGTGGGAAAAACAGTTTTTTTGAGCCTCACTGCCGGGCGGTGTGGTAGACAATTTTGTGAGCCTCACTGCGGGCGTTGTGGTAGACAATTTTTGTGAGCCTCACTGCCGGGCGTGTGGGAGACAGTTTTGTGAGCCTCACTGCCGGGCGTGTGGGAGACAGTTTTTTGAGCCTCACTGCCGGGCGTGTGGTAGACAGTTTTGTGAGCCTCACTGCCGGGCGTGTGGGAGACAGTTTTTTGAGCCTCACTGCCGGGCGTGTGGGAGACAGTTTTGTGAGCCTCACTGCCGGGCGTGTGGGAGAAAGTTTTGTGAGCCTCACTGCCGGGCGTGTGGTACACAGTTTTGTGAGCCTCACTGCCGGGCGTTGTGGGGAGGAAAGTTTTGTGAGCCTCACTGCCGGGCGTGTGGGTAGACAATTTTGTGAGCCTCACTGCCGGGCGTGTGGTAGACAGTTTTGTGAGCCTCACTGCCGGGCGTGTGGTACACAGTTTTGTGAGCCTCACTGCCGGGCGTGTGGTAGACAGTTTTGTGAGCCTCACTGCCGGGCGTGTGGTAGACAGTTTTGTGAGCCTC